TGTCAGTTTAAACATTAAAGTAATTTTAAGCCATTTAAGCTCAAGACATCTCAATGCGTTACTCGCGCACTGTGATAGAGCGTTTCTATGCGCACCGCACACACACCTGAAGTGCACAAACAGATAGCCTTCTCAAGACAGCAGGTGAATACCAATGGCTGTCTTGACAAGTATCTTAAAGCATGTCCTAAAAGGTTGAAAACCCTTGGACCAGAGTATGGATTCCCAGAAGTCTCTATTTTGTAAATATGGGCTCTGGAAGAGTTTTTCTAGCAAAAACTCACTCATCACTACATGAAAATTTAAAGTGAAGACCTGATTATTTCAGGAGCCTTATCACAAGTCAATTGTTTTTGAATGTCGGTGCTACTTCTGCTATATTTTCACACTTAGGTAATTGATCAAGCAGGCTTGTTGGAACATGGTATCTCCAAAGAACCCTAACATGTCTTCTAAGTAAAGAGTAATTGCTGAATTTGTTACGTTTTAGAGGGGGTGTACTCATTTATGCTGTGCACTGTATATACACATAATTTTATGTAAAGATATTTCAATGTTTGAAAAATCAAGCCTCATGCACTCAATGAGAATACTGCACTAGAAAGCCTGAATGTAGGTTTGTTTTTTTACACAAGGACTTGCACTCTCATACCTGGACTGCAAGTAAGGCCAGGACGGTCACTGCACAACGCATGCGGTGCAGCACTGCTCTTGCTTCTCGGGCAAAGCGGTGTAGTTCATCTGCCTCACAATCTCAGCGAACAGCTCATCAACCATGCTCTTGCTCTTGGCTGAGGTCTCTATGAAGGGACAGCCCCACTCTTGTGCGAGGGCACGTCCGTCAGAACCCGCCACCTCCCGCTCGGACTCCAGGTCCACCTTATTCCCCACCAAGATCAGAGGCACCTTCTCGAAGCGCTTCACACGAACGATCTGGTCCCGCATTGGTCTGATGTCCTGCGGAGCAGTGTCAGAGATAAGATAATGTATAATTTATAAGCAAGATAAAACAGTTTAGGACCCCAAATAAGTCAGTTTATGGAGAAATGAACATTCCTAAAGTTGCAATGAAATGGAAGAGGTGACAGAGCTTTTCTTCCGTATTGTGACATGCATCCAAGTGAAACGGATTAACGGAAATGAAAAACGTTAGGCAGGGCCTTGTTTCTGTGCATCAGTTGTTGATTGGATTTTGAGAGTCACAAGTGAAGGCAAGGGGTGGGGTTTTAGCGGACTAAGGCTTGTTAACAATAAATAATCTTATTGTTGCATTACTTTTGTGTATTAGGATCCCTTCCAAATTGCTGTTGCTCTTTATATCATGTTTTTCTTTTTCTGATTTTTGTTCTTTTTTGAATAAAATACTTTTCTTGTGATCATAAGCAATACAAAATATGTACCTCATGTGAACAACATACATGCATTGTGAGAAAGAGTTGAATAATAAATTTAAGTTAAAGTGGGTGTGTGAGATCACAAGGGATGGGAAAGTGTATTTGAATATAATAAGTTTTAACCTGTTGCATATATGCCATAAGCTACCTTTAAAAGAGACACTTTAAGATTTTCTGTCATTTACAGTTTGGCTGAGAGGGCTAAATTCTGGTGCACTCCTAAATCACAGGAGTTCCCTTGCCTGAGTGATTTCTGACCTCAATTGTGGAAATATGATAACAGTGGTAAGGATGTCCTAATTTAAACCTCAAAATTCTATTTGTTGTACTAGTATTGCCAGATGTTAGACGCAATACTCACCTGAAATGACTGCTGATTGACAAGGCTGTAGACTAAAATGAAGCCTTGCCCGTTTTTGATGTACAGATCTCGCATGGAGGCGAACTGCTCGGTCCCAGCGGTGTCCAAGATCTCCAGCACCGAGGGGGACGAATCCACCTCGATCTCCTTCCTATAGAAGTCCTCGATGGTCGGGTCATATTTCTCTATGAATGTCCCGGTCACAAACTGGACCGTGAGTGCGGACTTGCCCACGCCGCCGCTGCCCAGCACAACCACCTTATACTCCTTCATTTGGTCTGATCCAGGATTAAGCTACAGCTAACTTTATGTGCTCAGCAACTGCCATAAAAAACAAAAATACCACAGCACTTCTTATCGAGGCGCTTTATGACCAAAACAACACCGGAGGAGCACTTTTATCGGGTTCGAGGGAATCAAAGCCCACAGATTCAACGGAGGACGAGAGTGTTTTCTCTGGGTGAATGTCTAGCTAAATCCACAACGCCCCTCCATCTGCACTCTATTGCCATTGGGATCCGTTCATCCTAGAGTTTGTTAGCCACAGAAACGATGAAAAACACAAGTATTGTGTGCAGTCGTGTCCATGTTTGGCGTCCGTGTGAATGGAGCGCTACATGACTAGCTTTAGCTGGCTAGTGCTTCTCAAAGAGAGCGAGGCTGAACTCACATACAAACGGCCCTTTCCTGTTTTAATACCGCTTCTGAGCGACGAATATGATCACCGGGTTCAGGTTTCTTGCTCTGAGATCCTTCCCTTCTTGTGCCTCTTTTCCCCGGCCCGCCTCTGCATATCGGCCCCAGACAGCAGCAGCAGCGGCCCCGCAGCGGAACTCCTCTCTCACGCTAGCGTGAACGAATTGTTCGAATGAATCGGATCTTTCAGTGAATCGGTTTAATTGATTCATGGATTGAGCGAATCGGACTGAAATGGGCCCACGTAGTTTTAGGGTCAGTTTAACCGGGATCCGTCTATTTCAGACATGTTAAAGGGGTCATATGATGCGATTTCATTTTTTCCTTTCTCTTTAGAGTGTTACAAGCTCTTGGTGCATAAAGAAGATCTGTAAAGTTGCAAAGACTAAAGTCTCAAATTTTTACTTTAAACCGCATAAACACATTTCATTACACCAAATACACAAAATAATGTTCTTTTTAGCAGCATCATATGACCCCTTTAAATTTGTAAGAGCATTTGGAAGCAAGGATTTGATTGGCGTTTAGTTAATAACCAATTAGCAGAAATGTAAAAAAAACACAAAAAAAAACCCAGGGAAATAAGTTTAGGACTCTATGGTATGGCAGTTTTATCAACAATTGTTTTTTACTAAATAATTAGTTCCCAACAGATATAAGCTAATAATTTTAGTACTGATTAATGTAAATGCACACTATATTTATCTTTTAAATGACTTTGTTTTATACGCCTAATAATGACTGTAACAAATTGCATGATGGCATGCATGAAAGAAATACTCCTATTAGTTAAACTTTTTTATTTAGAACATATGTATGGGACGCGTCAGAGGCGACGTTATGACGCAATTACGCTCCGACGCCAACGGATAGTTTTTTGAACCGGTTCTTTGAAACAAACTGTTCGAAAGAACCGATTCGCGGAAATTAAGGCGGCCCCACAGAGGAGCTCCTTTTTCTCACAAGCCTCAAACTGACCAATAAACATCCGCCGGAAATCACATCACTCTCACAAAAATGTGAAACCAAACATGTCCAAGACATGATCATAATGTAAAATTAGAAAAGAAAATGTGAGGAAAATGAGCAATCAGTGAACAGACTATATATATTAATATCATTGGCAATTTAAAATGTGTAATTGTGAAGTGGTCAAAGAGCTGTCTCTGTTAGTGGACTCACCTTGGGCATCAGTGATGACATTATCTTAGCATGTCCAGTGATTCGAATAGTTTTGAACAGTTAAGAAAATTAACTTAAGACACTCTAATTCTTAAATCCAATTATTTGTTTTGTTGACGTCTCTAGAGCAGTCTGTGAATACTACCAAGAAAAACACACACCAAACACAGTCCAAAACTGCCTTTAAGTGCTTTATTAAAATGTCAAACAAAAAGAACAGAAGTCTTAAGTATGTATATATTCCATACATTTATATATCGCAAAGGGATTGACAAGAAGCACAGTTCTTGAAGCACATACAAGCACAATAAGCTAAATAGAAAGAGAAGCATTTCATATAAAGAGTAAAAGCATTCAGATTTATCTTGTCCTACAGTGGGAGAGAGAGGAATCTATTACATATGGCTTTGAAACAATGTAGACATTCTTTGAACGGTTCCACACACACAATAGCATTTACACAGGCATCGGCGTTGGTCACCGAACGTCAGCCGATGCCTTTAAAGGGACATAACCTCTGCATCAATGAGTGATTTCATTCGAAACTATACAGCTTTGTACAACATTAATGTGATGCTCCAGTTTCAGTGACTTCTACACGTTAAAACACGAACCATTGACGTTAGGGTTCCAGTCACAGAAATGACGATGACGTGACTGAATGTAGGGCACAGTTAGGTGGAAGTCTAACCTCAATGGCTTTCTTTTCAGACCAGTCCTTTCACATCACACCGAATGTTTAGGCACAGGATAATGGGCAGCAGAAGAGTGTTTGTCGATTTTCTCTGTCAAGCACAGTGGTAAAAGGAGCACCCCGTGTGTTCGCATTCAGCTTCTGGATGCAAGTTGGGACCCCTTAGTCTATGCTAAGTCCTAAGTGCTACCTCAGCTTTACAGTCAAAAGGCTGAGGACCATAATCGATTGGTCCAAAGGTGCGTCTATATGCAAGAACCTACAAAAGACTCAGTCTCTCCCTCACTATTAGGGCAAGTGCCATGGCAACAAAATTATTGGCTTCCAAAGCAACTGTAGAGCACAGAATGTACAAGTTTTCTTCAACAGAGTGTTCTGTCTGGCGATTTCACGTCGGATTTTGGAGCAATTTTGATTGAGGATATCCTGTGAGATTTTCAGGTTATTTGTTGGTCTTGGTGAGTGCACAAGAATGGAAAATGTCCGTCAACAACCAAACCAAACGGAAAACTGCAATATGTTATTTTGTATAACCTGCAGCAATGCTTTCCAGCTGCAGTCTGATCCTGAGGTGCTCTTTATGCTGCCCTCTTGGTCTTCCTGTAGGGGGCAGAGTGTTATTACACCCCCTTTTTCATGGCATCCCATGGGACTACACAGAAAACAAAACTGTGAGCCTGAAACTCGCACAACGTAGAGGTAAAAGAGAAACAAGGTGGCCATTCTTTGGTTTCTGAACACAACCGCACCTCAGGATCAGACGCAAGCGGGCGCAGAGCTCAGGTCGCCGCGCTTTTGTAAGCTATGCAAAACTACGAAGCCTTTTTTGACATCATGTTCTCTGCAAAATGCAATATCATGCGTAACGATGAGAACGAGGGCATTAGCAAACAGAACAAACAACAAATTCCTCGACACCCCAGCAAAACAGCATCTATCTCTTTGACAACCCTTTAAAAGGATAACTGTTTACCTGTATTCCGAACAATACAGACATTTGATTTGAATCTGCTCTTCTACATATATATATATATATTTATTCATCTATGTATATTCAAAATAAATTCTGAATATTTTGAATCAGTTATGTACATAAGTGCAAACAAGGTGAATAACACACATTCGTACACCAATGGGGTGACGCGAGTCACCAGGTCCCAGCACAGCTGGGGTGCAGTCCGGGTGGGCCAGAGGGGGACAGAGACTTAAATCAGGGGCTCACTTATGGCTGATACCGTCCTGTTACTGACATCATGGGGCTGCATTATTTATAAAAACCACCTGTTTTTTTTTTTTTTTTTTTTTTTGGAATGCACCATTGTGAATGCATCGCCAAACCTTCTCGGACCAAATATGAGACTAGAAAGTCTCTTTCCCCCAAATTGATCCATCAGATTAGTTCAAAAGCTCAGATGCTGTTTACGTAAAGATCTGGTTCTTATCAAAAAGTGATCAGCAACCCCAATAGAAAAATAATAATCATTAAAACAGAAATAATGTATGATGTCTCCAAAGGGCCTTTGGACATAAAGTATCTCACAAGTCTGTATATATATATATATACGTTTATATATATAATTTTACAAAATAGTCAATCATCTCTTTTTCCAAGACAACTTAAGAACACATTCCCTTTCTGAATAAGTTAACGTTGTACATTATTTCACTTGAAGTGTGAAAAAATTCACAATTAAGATATACAAAGGTAGCCATGTTGTAGTTTTGTTGCCATAGCAACAAGAACTTACTATCATAGGTAACAATGAATCTATCATTGTAATACATACAAATGTGTATATTGATATATAGATACATAGATTAAGTAATTTTTTAATCTTAAACCACTAACTGCACAAACTATGATGTAGATTATTCCGATTATTTTAATTTCATGCGATAACAGACTTTACGATGTAAGGTAATTAACCAAGTAACGCTAATGATCAAACTCAAACTACCATTGACAGCTGTGTCAAAACAACACACCGTAACATGACTGAAGTCGTGAGGATATAGTTAAAACAGGTACCGTTACGAAGATCAATAATGTGTTTCGATAAAAACTAGAATGACGATGATGATACGTTTGTAATACGTACACATAGATTATTCTAGCCAACTACTTTATGCAGGTATGCACACTTTTTAAAAAGTGAGTTCTTAAAATGCTAAAGCCCCCAATGAGGCACATTGTTTTTTCTTTATCAAGTATTTCGTTGATTCCAGCTGGATTGCAGTTGGAGAAGGCATAATTCTTTATATGAGAGAGAGAGAGACAGAGAGAGAGCGAGATAGAGGAAGAGACAGAAACAGAGAGAAAGGAGCTTCTACGCCTTGGCTGGGCAATGGAACTTAATTACAAAACACAATCCAACACATCAATAAACAGTAGAGATCGTTCCTAAAGGAATCCACACATATTTGCCCCAGTATTTCTTAAAACAACCTTAAAACACATGAACATTATACAGAGATGTTTACAATACAGATACTATTTTAGTTATAACACAGTATAGTATCATCTTGCTCTGATTTTGTCTTGTTTAGACCACCATTGTATATCATTTCACTTGCGTTTGGCCTAGATAGTGTGTGCTGATCAGCAAAAAAGTTGCAATGATGTTTTTAGGTCAGGTTATCACGTAAAATCAGCTTTATGGCTCTCTTGGGGTTATGCTGTTGAAACAACATGGCTGTCCCAAAGGAGACAACAGTTTAGAGAAGGGTCTTTGAGATAAGAGATGAAAAACGCTTTTTTTTTTTTTTTTGTCTGTTTGTACATCAACAGTGGATGGCATTGGGAGGCTTTCACTTCCTTGATATGTTGAGAAAGGTTGTAGTTTTGTTCGAGAGAAATGGTGAGACAGTCATCCAAAACCTCTCGTGACATTCTCTCTGTCTTAAATGTCACATTCATATATGCATGTAAAGGCCTGTGAGGGGCAGTTAAATGTCTTGCAAATGAAGCTTTGGCTGATGAGGGCCTTTTCTAAGTACCCAGTCTGAAAATAATCAAAATTTATTTTATTTTTTTCCTTTTAATTGTAACATGTCTACATGAGAGCTTACAGCTCACAGTCCAAACAGATCATATTCAGATGTCACACGGTCATCTACGCCCTTGCATTTTAGAGTCTGCCGACTTTTGAAAGTAAGGACACAGTCAGTGATTTAAACCTGTTCACACTCTAAACATGAACACAACAAACACAAGAACAACTTAAATAGTTCGAATTCAATCAGCCATCTATCTCAAAGTCAAAATGGGCAAAGAAACTCCAGTATGACCCTAATGGATTTCGTCTGTCTGACGCAGTTTTCATGTTTCTCCATGGATAAACTATCAATAATGTATTACGGCAATAATCTAATAGAGCTCTTGGTTGGCAGAGACCGGAACTCTATTAGTGGGTGCACACGGCGTCCACTGATGCAGTAATAAAAACAGCTGCTGAAAACCGCCCTACTGTGAGTTTCCCAACTGTAGCACTCGCTAAATGAACGGTAGCAACAACTGAGATGTTTCGAAACAAAGCACAAGATAATAGCTTGCTTGAATAGATTTAGATTTGTTGCTTGGGTGGGCACATTTGCAATATTGCAATTTAAATCCATCTGGCTCATGACCTTGGCATGTCAAGGCCTGATTGTGCAGTCTGAGTTCTCCAGTGATTGGCACAGGGCGACCTGTCTGAGAGTCACTGGCACAAAATCAGTGCACTTGACATGTCTGTGCAGGGGGTCGCATATGCTGTTGAATACAGCAAACTAATGGGAGAGATACTGGATATTCAAATCAGGTGTGACTTCTAGAAAGGATTTTGCATATCTCCTTGTGATTTTAATGATAGGGATTTAACATACGTGTACCAATCTGTTATAAATGAGTGTTTAAACCACTAAACATGCAGTTTAAAGAATAATTTTGGCAACTAACGTACACTGAAAACCGATCTTATAGTACTCAGGGATGCACCAAACATGGCTGAACAAAAAGTGGAGACGAACAGACTGTCACACAGCAGGAGGGGCAGAGCATGGATTTTGGCAGAGACAGTCCAGCCATCAGAAGGGGTTTGTCTATAAGAGATAGACATGGTAATAGGGTGAGTCTAATGAAAATGTCTTATTTCACACCAAAATCAAAAAAATGAAAATTAGATTTTGCATAAAGAATATGAAGCCTCTTTTTTCATTTTCATGACAATTAAACCACATTTCTGTAATGCATTGCATGTTTTTGCACTGGAGCAACTGCATTTTTTTTTTTTTTTACAATCATTTTTATCCTCAATGATTTTTTTACTATATAACAGGAAACATTTTTTTGAATATAATTGTTTTTAGTATTATATTATATAACAGAATTAGAACAAATACAACCATGATACTTTAAAAATAATTTATATGTAGTTATTTATTGTGCATTACAGTCATAAAAGTAAGATTTTTTGCATTTTGGCAATGACAATAGGAGTGCTTAATTGTCATAAAAATTTGTTTCAGCAAATTTTGTTTCTTCTGCTTTTGGGATGAATATATATATGATTTTTTTTTTTTTTGACTGTTTTCATGAAATTCACCCAGTAATCGAAGAAATGCGATATGCTAATAATCTAAAAAGCAAATAAACATGACTATTTTTTAAAGCATTTGAATATCCAGGCCATCAGGCGATAGATAGTTAAGGAATATATGCAAGAAACATTGAAGAACGAAGACCAGCTGGAATAAACAAAGTCCAGTTAAAATGTTCTCAATGAGACATCTTATACATCCAGAAGGCCTGCAATCAGACCTTACATTTCAGTGTGCATCACACTGTGCAACAGGAAGTGCTCATATTTAGTCTGCTTAAGGCAGTTCTATTTTTAAAGTGGAGGTATGAGTATGTGAACCAATCTTCTGTTTGACCGTCTCGATGTAGAGCTTGAAATGCGAGGTGAGATACTTCAGGCATGAATAGTAACACTTATCTCAGTAGACCAGTTTTAGCCTGTTGGACAGTCATTAAATAAATAATACTCTTTCAAGAAAAACTCAACAACACTCATCCCTAAGTAGACGGAGGAACGACACATTGATTCTGAAAGGCTACACAGGTATACTTTCTGAGTCTATGATAAAATGTAAGTCAGTTGAGTACAGAAGAACTGGGGGAAAAAGACGTCCACAAACTTGTAACTCAAAGGCACGAACAACGACATTTTGAAAACCTCTTAACGAAAAACCTAAATCAGTATCATGAGATCAGATTATCTTACAAAAGCATCAATCATTTTCAAAGAACCTTTTTTTTTCTCGACATTTTGAAATGTAAACATGAAATAAAATGTGCCACGTTAATGAATCATAATTAAATGTTAAAGAAATTACCACCACCACAACTATGTAAAATATCGTTAGCATTAGGTGCCGCTCTCGCACACTCTGGGATTTCAAAACATTCTGTCTGCTGATGATCTGCAACGACTCCACCTCTAACCGTACATTAGATAAGTCGGTTCTGAAATCTAATGTTCATCTCCAGAGAATTCATTCTTCTCAGCTAATTGGTTTGCATGTATTCGTATGGCTGTGAGTTACGAGAGATCTCCGTCTCCTGATTCAGCATGCTCCTTACGTCTCCTTGCATCGAGATGGCATGCTTCCTTAAACAGTTGTAGGTCCAAGCTTAAGTATTGCCTGTTTCAATATCAACAAACCTCTGTTGACGTCAAATGAAGTGGGGATCTCTGACATGAGGATGAATGTATTGCCCGTTAAGGACGTACTGATTAGGCACACGTTTTGTTGCATTCATTTTTCTGTTGTTTGGGCACATGTTGCATGAGAGATGGGTCTGATTAGGTTGTGGGATTGCGGGAGAGGCTTACTGGATTCAGCGTCATTGGTGCAGCCACCAGGAGTTTAGGAACGGGACAGAAATGGGCCTCCATGGGAACGCACTGGAGGTCGATGGGTTCGGTGCTCAGTACCTCGGCGGCATCTACTGGAAGACAGGTACAAACAACCCAGAGATAAGGAGGTGAACCTCTTACAGTCAAACGAGCTATATGCAAAGAGAATATAGTCAATTCTTATCTTATCTACTGGAATATCAAACCAGCATTTCATTTCGAAAATGAGAAAAAGAATTACAAGAGAATGAATAAATAATGTGCCATATTGCATTAGTTATCTTGAGACTGTGGGCACAGACCTGCAATTCCACAATCGTAATTTTGCAAGATGTATTTCAGCAAAATGCAAGTGAAGCAGGAAATGAGAGCTGACATCTCAGGTCTGCGCAACATTATTGGTCTATACCTGTACTCCAGAATTACTATTAGATGCTAAACTAGAGCTGAAAACCACACAGAACATTTCGCAGCTTACATAATGCTCAACACAGGGTTCCTACACAATTTCCATTTCCAGACTTCTCTGGGGATTTTTTGGACCATATTTCATAATGAAAAATATATGATTAACGGTGTAACGATTAAAAGTTCGATTCCCAATATTGAATTCACAATTTGATGCTCTCACAAAAACTAGTGTCACCAAAATGTCTGTAGTCGGTACTAGGGTTGTAACTAGGGATGTTAATTTTAACCGGTTAACCGTTAACCGACCGTATAGAATTTTGACCGATTAATACAATCAGTTAAACGGTTTAAAGAGTCTTTTTTTTTTTTTTTTAGTATTTTATCAAAATATTTAAAAAGATTTGCTGCATGGTTAAAATACGCTACGCGTATAAAAAATTGTGTTTTTAGAGGGAAAAAAAACACAAGTCGCATAGAAGTCGCATTTTATTATTTCATTCAGAAATAGGCTTAATGCCGAAGCGAAATGTTTACAAACATTATAATAAACGCTGTAAACATAGCTAGGCTATTTTAGTTCCCCTCACTCCACAACAAAGCCTTTCAATTAACAGTATTTAGAAAAGAACAAGAATTAAAAATATAAGAAGCTATAGCAATATAAACGACAAGCCAAAACGAATTCATTTGGCTAAAACGAAACTGAAACCAACGTTGGGTCTCTCATTTGACACAAAATCAAATGTTTCCGTATTTGCGATGTATTTGAATGGCAAATTATTTATTATGTAGCCTACTTTACTCGCGCTCCAATATCCACGTGAAACAAAATGTTTTGTCACGGCGGTACGGTGATAACACTTAACTGCACAGATTTTACTACACATTTAAACCGAGCAGTGTGTTTTTTCCCATATGTTTGACTGACTGTATTTTATTATGATAATGAACAGGCTGCATTGTCAAGGTAGCAAAGCTTAACTGTGTGGC